TCTAGGTAGCCGTGAGTGACCTCCTCTATGCGGTTCAATAACACGAGGTTGATGACCTAATGACACTTGCCTGTGCACTTAAAAAATAATGTACGTCACTAATTACTAAATATATAATATATGCATATGTAAATCCGTGTGATTGACAGACGCTAGTACTTTTTATCCATAATTTGTTATAATTTTTATAGATTCAATGCTATAAAAATTAAACAATCGTAGGTGAAGACAAGTACAGACACATACTTATGTCTGTTAAATTTACCAATTCGTGTTACAGTCTCTATGTTAATGTAAATTAACGTAATCGTCAACAAATCGACATCCGCTTAGATTTATAAACAATTGTTTTGTTAATACATTTCTGGACAATTTAACTGTTAAGTATACTTTTAATTTATGTAAGTAACATTTACTTCTATGATTAAAGTGTGAAAATTGTGTATTTTAATTTTTGTATCATTCACATGAATATATAAATTAAGTCTTTGTATATAACGTACCTAATTGACGTAATGTGATATTATTTCCTTCAGCCTCTGATGGGGCCACATAATACCAGAGTGGGGACTTTAGTCCCAACGTAGCTGAGTGGTCTCCTTTTCGGAGGCAACTGTGTTTTATTATTTCAAATGTATTCTTTAGTAAATTAATATTTCATTTGTATTTTTATTATCTTTTTATATTTGAATCTATATGTTATGTTTATTTATTGTCTATTCTAAATAAAATAATTTTAAACACGATAACGAATGTTACTACGACCCCACGAATCAGTAATCGTGGGTCTGTCTCAAAGTGGTTATTGTTAATGGTTCCTCATAAACGGTTTAGGGTTTGAGGCTTTTAGTTACATATTTAAATAAATCTATACTAAACACGACTTTCGTAGGTCTACTGTCTAATGCACTCGACTGCAAACTAAAAAGACTTCTAAGAAATTGCTAGTAACAACCCGGAGATTGAAAGTAGGTGTCTCACCACCCCCTTGCCTCGTAGCGCATGTTAAGCCAGCGGTGCCGGTTGTCTCCACTAATTTAGTGGCAATAGTAGTTAAAGCCCACCAATGCGCACTAGAGTAAATTGGTGGGTATAAGCTCTTAAAAACTGACTGTACTGCACTGTTGAGAGCAGACCTACAGGCTACTCTTGAATCAATAACAATTTAAAAATCGCCCAATTTCAATCCATTTTATTATTTTAGACTTTGGTACACAAAAACATACAGATAAAGAATGAAATTTTACAACTATAGAGTATACAGGGCTGCCTTATCGCTCTAAGCGAGTTCTTCTAGGTAACCCGGCTAGAAAGAAACTTAATAAATAAAACTAGACAATATGCCAGAACTGACTGAAACTGACTTATTACTTAATAAACTATACAAAATAATGATAATAACCCATTCAATGAAAATTAGGAAAAGAAAAAGAAAGTTTAGTTTAGGAAGAATAACTTGATAACCCTTTGAATAATTTAATATCCAGATTTCCAAAAAAAGTACAACATATTTCAGAAAATTTATAAATTGAAAAATTAGAAGCATTTCGGACCCGGTGGAAATCAAACCCACGACCAGTCAAAACAAACCTTTCCGCAGTTCAAGTTAACAAGTTGAATTGAACAAATAACGTGATTCCAAATTTGATTTAACCGAACAGTAGGACATTGGTATGTTGGAACGAAACGACTCGCGTAAACTACAGATTAAACCCTGATAATTCAATAAGATACTGTCCCGATGACGTAGGATTCGTGCGTAGACTGGTGATGCTATCGAGACAAAGGGGTCAATGTCAGAGATGACGGATATTCTCAATATACGGAGTATTTTAATGCATTTCTGACACTAGACAAGTGGAGATACACGCGTAATGCACGTGGTAGATACAAAGTACATTTATGTACAGTATCAATTGATTGGGAACCGCCTGAGTTATATCATTTTGCAATTTGTCCCGTATCCTGGTTTACAAATAAAATTTATAGTACTATAAGAAGTACAAAGTTATAAGGAAACGTTTATAAGGAACTAGCTGTGCCCGCGTCTTCGTCCGCATGGAAAAGTTATGTAAGGCATCATAATATTATTCTTAAAAGATAGAGATATAATGTCAAGGACAGTTTTTCAGATAATCTAATGAAAATTATTTCATACATATTTTTTGATTTCTTGAATCATTTTCGCAGCGGACGTAAGGGAAGCTCACAAACATGAATTACTCCGTTATTTACACATTTTCCTTAGTTTCTTCGCTCTAATTGGACGCAGTTTGGTGTTTCGGCATAAAGCTTCCTCGATAAATGGTTTATCCAACTGCCAACACAACATTTTTCAATTAGAACTATTGGTTTCTTGAGATAAGCGCGTCCAAACAAAGGAAGGAATTTTTTTTTCAGTATAAAAGATGCACTAACGTATAGGCAAACAATTATAGATAGAGGAGACGTTTGGAGTTTTATTGAGTTCCATAGGATATTATTTGTAATTGTAACAAATTACTCTTTACAATACTTCTAACTTCTTCTTACTTCTGTTTAATCACTGTCCTAATTAAAATCAACCGTTACATGAAGTCCAAGCAAACATTTATATTTAACAATATTTTACGAAAATATATTTAAATATATATTGTGGTCAACCGAGTTGAAATATTTGTTCGTTGCAATATTTGTAAATATTTTATCATCGTGAATCATGTGCCTACGCCGAGTCGTGTGTATTTAAAACGTGTATTAAAACAAAAAACTGTTTCCAGTATGATTCATCAACGCCTGTTAGTTTACACGAATCGAGATGTACAGAATCAAAATCGATAAAAAAGACATAGCGAACATAAAAATTTTTTTATAATAGAGTGCCAAGCCTGGGGTTCACTCAAAGAAGAAATACCCTAGACAAATAACAACGAAACAAGATGAGCTGTCGAATTATTTCGGCTTTGGATATTCGCAAATCCACAGACTAAAAGCGAAATGCGATTAAACTTAATGCTTTTTCATCGCTAGACAGCGTTTCGTGACCTGGATGGAATCTTGATATTTCTACCACCCACTATTGCGTCATTGTTAATTACGTTATAGGAAATATATAATTGAGAATCATTTGAGTATTCATTAATAGTTTGAGTTATCATTGCTCTAATGCATTCAACGTCAAAGGTCTGAGGTCTCTCTGTAAATAATTAGACAGACGCAGAAAGCTGTCTTGTACTATATAAGGGAAACAGGGTTTAACTCTTCTACTATCCCTTCTCTAATTAATGTATCCATAAATATATACAAGAGGTACTAAGCGAGTATACGTGACACTAATCACACGTCATGTGAATATATTAGACATTACACGCTGCAAAACATGTATGTAAATTTTGTTGTTCGGCTCTAATAAGTCTGCAGAAAGTGACTGCCAATAAAAAGTGGAGATCGATGTAGTGCCGTGTTAGTTTTTTCAGTACTGCTATTGAAACGAGTAAATATTATTTTAATTAATACACTTTAACGGTTTAGAACGCGAAATATATTAAGCTTACTACACGGGGAGACCGTGACCACAGCTGCTACAAACCGAAACGTCGTAGATACAATAATTTGTAAATAAGTTTATTATATTTCGCGCCAACACCTTCAGCTCCATATTTTTCCGTGAATAAGGAACCGATGAACTGGCAACAGCGTTTATCCTAACCACTCTGCTAAGCGTGATTAGTATGGTCCCCAAAAACCCCAAATGAAAACCTTTAGGACAAAAAGGCTCTGGGATATCCTACGGGTAGACAGACTACCTGGTGTATGCGACTAGAAAATGCTGGATTCGGGTAGCCCCACGGAAAATCTTTTAGGGAGGAGGCCTTTGTCAACAGTCAAAATTCAGTTTTATTTAAGTGGAATTAAAGAGTTGAGTCCACATATTAAAACGCTTTATTTGTCATCCTCGATAAAAGGACTAGCTTCTTTTAAACGAATCAAACAGGTAATAGAAGTTCATAATGGTGACAGATCTATAAAAACCCAGAATTTTCCCAGCATTGTATTAGTTGGTTTTTATTTAGCATTTATCGGGTACGAGAGCTCGTCTTCAATCAGCTCAATTGGATGTTAGTGACGTTCTTTTGACGTCAACGCGTGGAAAAGGCAAATCACCGAACAACTGTACTCTTCCGTTTAAGATGGAAATCCGATTGGCACGTTGACACTTGTTCACAAATCTACACAAAACTAACCAGAGCCGCTCTATCGCTAGAGTAGTTATTAATTCTAATTTTTCAATTTATTTTTTAAATGTCGATAATAATTATAACACGGTTCGATAAAGTCAATTTTTAATATGTTATAGTATTTCCATTAAATGTTACATTTTGACTTTCATAATTACACATTTAAAATGCTATTGATTATTTAACACTTAAGTTTTAAAAAAGATAAGAAACAAATCTATGTTTCTAATATTTTGTATGTCGGTTCTCCTTGTAGATAATTGAATTTCTACGCTTGAAAAAAATAGGCAAAGAGTAGGCAAAGGAGATTATTATATAATATTATGTTTATTTTTTATATTATATTATATTATTTTTAACTACTTCATTATTGTTATTATATTATTATTATATTACACTACCTTAAAAAATAATATATTATATTATATTATATTATATTATATTATATTATATTATATTATATTATATTATATTATATTATATTATATTATATTATATTATATTATATTATATTATATTATATTATTTTTAACTACTTACTATTGCACGCCAAATAATAAATTGCCACCACCGTGACATAACGTATAACAAGATGCCTTGGTTTGCTGAATCGCGGAAATATGATAAAGAGTTTCAGTTCCACAGGAAATAAAAATCAGCTATTTGCTTTTAAATAAAACTTTGAAAGAATGTACCCTATATCTGGACTATTCTTAAACTTACAATGTAATATGTTTATTTGATGTGGTATAGATTGATAATCAAAAATATAATTTGTTACAGGTAGCAATTAAGATAATAGATAAATCACAATTAGACGCCAGTAATCTTCAAAAGGTCTACAGGGAAGTGGACATCATGAAGAGGCTGGATCATCCTCATATTATTAAGCTTTACCAGGTAAGGAACTTTAAAATTATGTTTTACCACCATCCGAAGTATCATAGTATCGTCTTCCCGTAACCACGGCTGCTATAAAGCATCCCCAACGTCAGGCCGTTGCTAAAACAAATTGTACGTAATTTAACTTATATATCTCGCGTTTCAAACCATAAAAATGTTCTTAAATACGAGTGTTTTAAACATGTTTGTCTCCTTAAGATCTCTATCTGTCCCCAAGATTCGCATCCATGAGACCTCGCTCGAAGGTTCTTTATCTTCAAAATATCCTATATTCGAAAGTAACTACTCACGAAATCTGTTTTCTTTAGAAATTCCGCAAAGAACTCGGTCGATTAGTAAACGATTTTCGCATACGAAATTTTCCGCTTGCGAAGATCATCTCTGGACAAACAATTGTGATTGTCTGTTTAAATCTACGAGTATTATGTAGTCAGTCAAGATCATCAAAATATTTTGCCATTTGCTTAAAGGTAGTTTTAGATCGGCGGTCATTTAACGTGCTCGTGGATACTAATACGACTATTTCGTACATAATAAGTCAATTATCCTAAAGACTTCTTGTACTAATTACTACTTAGTTATACTGTCAAAGCTAACAATGGCATTACTAACAGTAAGGCAAGAAGTATGGTTCCCTGAAAACCTCTTGAATTCAAAAAAGCTTGTTTCTTATTGTCTGTAGTTTACGCTAGCGGTACGCATTCAATAATCCACATCAATGATTTTTTTTTTATTACGATCCGACGTTGCGAATGCTTTACTGCAGCCGTGGTTTGGGGTAAGACCTTTTAAAAAATCACCTCAGAAACTTTGTAATAATAGAAAAGTTGGATATTAAAAGAAATTGACTAATTGCCTAACCATAAATATTAAGTCAGTAATAATTAGATCAATTTAAATAAAACAGTGTAACGTATTACAACATGAAATATATTACTTCAACTTCTTATATACTTTTATATATCTTTATAATCGTATATCTTCATATATACTTTTACGACGAGCCGACGTTTCAGATGCTTTGTAGCAGCGGCGTCGGGCTGTAGTTAAAATAAGTTTAACAAATATATTTCATTTTAAACCGTCAAAATGTTTTCTTTAAATATTCTATTCGCGTAAACTACAGACAGTATTTATCCTGGATCCCTTCTGATTCCCTCGCCCCCCTATCTGGTTAGCCACTAGGTGTATTAAAAAAGTACTAGCAGTGGTTCCGCACATCCGACGGTCTTGTTATTCTGGGTCGGTGAGCCATTCGAAACGGTACAATTGCTTGTACACCGTTAGCCTTATTGCAATGTTCTGCATAAGTGGCTGATGTCGCACTCAGCAAATATCACGCGAAATTGTCGCTGGAACGTGATCGTTGGATTGTTCCAGCATTGGGGTCGGTTCACGCGTCATATCGCAATATAAACATTAGGTATGTCTGTTATGTATGGCCGTTATAACGGGATTTTCTTTTTCAAAACACGTCGTATATAGTCAACAATTTATATAAAATGGGGAAATTCGTATTTTTATGTGAAAAATAAAAGGAACTTTCTGGACTCGCAACTGTATCTTGATGAACAAAGCCATGCACCTACGTGGGTCCGAAATCCGCGTCAAATCCAAAAATTATGATTTATGACGTATATAGCTGTATGTTTAATCTGTAGCTAAGTTGTTAACGCAAGCACAGAAGTTCCTGGGTTGGTTTCTCGTGGAAATATATCATTATTGTGGTCGTCAGGGCTTGAAATTTTCGCGACTTGTCTGTAAATAAAATAGATCTGACATTGGAATATGTCTGATAAGCCCAGCATAATAGGCAAACGGAAGTTCACTCGTTATTCAAGACAAAATAGTGCTGATATTATGTATGTCTACTGTCTAAACACGAAAATTATATAATAAAATATTAATCATCTGTTACTATGTATATTATTTAGGTATTGAAGTTTATCATCGCGATTTATTATTGAGGAAAATTTCTTTTAAATTGATAAACTACCTTTATGTGGGAACCGTAATCAGGCGGGCAGATTGTATGTTATTCAAATATGCGATAGATTATTTATAATCTTAATTCCTCTGCAGCCAAATGGTTAAACGTATTGCCTAGCATTGCGTTAAGCGCGAGAGGTCCTGGATTCGAATCCCACGGAAACATAAAATTGTTTCGGTCAGGCAGGCCACAGAAGTCTGATCAACTACTTGCCCGTTAAAAGAACGGATCGCCCCATGCCCCACGAGGGGGAAACGGGCTTTCGCTTTCGCTTCGCTTTAATTCTTAACAATTATTATTATTTGAAGGATACGTCAATTTTGAATGCTATAAAAGCTATTTCTAGTTAAAATCATGTTAATATTAATAGAAAAGTTTTAATTTGAAACTCTGTCGTGCCCAAACAAAGTATGCCTACTTGAATTGCCACACACAGTAAAAGCAACCTTACATTTTGTCTTAACAAGTTCCAAGACATGATTTTTTTACTTAGTTTTCCCAATAGCCATTCTATTTATCTATTAAATATTAATAATCTTATCACTAGCTTACCTGGCAAACGTTTTTTGCTATATTCAGTATTTCGACGGAGTTTGATTCCCATAAAAACCGTTCTTGTGAGATAATCTTAAAACATAGAAATATACTTTCGTAGACATTTTCGTAGATTCATTAGAGAATTCTTTCTTTCATATTTTTTGGGTATCTGGAACCGTTTTCGCAGCGCCCGCAACGGAAACGTTAAAAGTCGAATAATTTATAACCGATTTTTTCACATTTCTCTCGGTTTTGTCACACGTATTCGTCGCAGCCCGATGTTTTATAGTGTAAATACTCTTACCAGGACAAAAATATTTTTTCAGTTAAAAACAGCAGTTCATGAGATTTGCGAATTCAAAGACACAAATAAACTCGTCAGCTTTTTAATATTAGTATAGGTATAACTTAAATGTTATTTGCTCTAGAAACTGGAGAATTATTTACACCGATCAAGTGATGGTTTACTACAATTTAACGGCTTGTTGATAGTATTGTTATTGTGTGGTTTTCCGGTATTGATAAAAATTAATTATCAATGGCCTCCACTAGTCATCATGTGAGACTTTTATCGGAATAATCGCTTCCTAGCATTGCACTAACGATGATCCTGGGTTCAAATCTCGCTAAAACATCTTACTTAATAGTTCCATGAGGCAGAGCACAGAAGTCAGATGCACTAGCTTGTAAATTCAGCGTAACTGGGACAGAAATGTGCTCGTTCCGTTCAGCATATGAAAGAAAGACAGGAAACAGTACACGAAACGAGGAAACGGAATTTTCGTTTACTGTATGTCAATTGGCCCATTACGCTGTGGCCTTGAGTTTGATTTTCGTCCAATAAAATATAAAATAATCTTAACGCTAAGTTCGTTTCTTAGCATTAGAAAGCGTTAGGATCATTTTAAAAAGAGAACACAGAATCTAGACGCAATCTAAACTTTTGTAAGTACTGTAAAAATTAACCAACATATTTTTCTCATCCAATACTGTATTTATTTACGTGATAGTCTAACAGCTAATAGGCTTGTTAGCTAGCATGTAAATTGACGCAGCCTTAAGCACATCATTATTTTAGTCGGGCGCTCGTAACTTCGTAAAGTGCTCCAGAATACGTTACCCCTACGTGAAGTATCTATAGAATTTTCCTTGCTGTTACCAATTATGTAAAATTCTCAACCTATTGTTGCTGATATAGAATTTATTAGTAGCCATTGTTGAGGTTTCGTCGCTCTACGCTAATTTGTGACGTACTGGCCATTCCTACTATTCAACTCAACGGGCGTTACAAACGCGAATCGTATTGTTCATTACGTAATTCTGTACATGTTAACTCTATCCTGTTTGACTGACGAATCAATGTACAGACGTAACTGGATAATCTATATCTATACTAATATACAAAGCTAAAAAGTTTGTTTGTTTGATCGCGCCAATCTCAGGAACTGCTGGTTCAAATTAATTAAAATATTTTTGTGTTGATTAGAACATTGATCGAGGTAGGTAAAACATCGCGCTATGTCTAATAAGTGCGAAGAAACAGCGGGAAATGTGAAAAAAACCGATGCATACTCTGCGAAAACAGATACCCAAAAAATATGATAGAATGATTTCACTGTAAATGATCTAAAAAAACATCCGAGACAATATACGTCTATCTTTAAGATAACTTGCAATGGCGGACGGAAGAAAGGACGCGGACGACGTCGCGGGTAACAACTTAAATCTATAGTAAACAGAAGGTTTGTAAAAACAATTTTTTAAATGCCCAAAATGACTTTTCGACGCGACGCGGAAAGTCGCTGACACAGCTAGTTTATTTACATGTCGTATAAAAAAAAGAATTCTTATCTAAGTGACGTCGGCAAGTTGTTTGATCTATCTCAAGTTCAAATCCATAAATATAAGTGTTTCCTAAATAAAGTATAGAAATGTTTGAGTAACGCGGGCGTCACCACAGGCTGGTTCTAGTACGTAAGCAACATAACCCACGTGTTGCCAAGAGAATTATATGCAGTCTGTGGCTTTTTTATAATTTGCATAGATTATAATGGCTTCTTGTACGGATTTACCTTATCGTGAAGATATAATTACGTTTTAAACACAAAGTAATACCGAGTTCTCATAAAAACATAGTATCGTTGTATATTTTTCAATTTTAAAGGTAAAATATACAAAAACAATATTATTTAATTTAATTTAATATATGATTATATTATGAATAAAATTATATTAATTTACTAAAATTTATTTTATTTTTTCTCGATATAGAAAGCCAAATAAAAAAACATGGATAACGCAAGCACCTCTCCAGCTATTAAATTTTATAAAATTTACAGACATAAATCGAAACCTGACATTAACTGCTTTTTCATCTGTGAACGGAAAGAATTATAGATATAAACCTTATTGGAAACCCTTGGACCCGTGACAATTAAACTCACCACCCGATTGATTATTAGCAATACATTGTTAACATCAAATCAACGAGCCTATCACTGCAAGATAAACTCTTCTAAATGTACGAGATGGCCGATCTTTAATAATATATAAAAAATAAACTAATTCCTAATGGCAGAAAGATTTAATACACTTTAAATATAGACGTTGCTATCAGTACATACATAGTGTAACGATATTACTTGGGACGTAAATACGAATTGTTTACGTCAACTCTCTCACGCGACAATCCCGTGATCGCTAAGTAGCTTACTTTTTACTTAGGTAACTTTTTATTTCAAGTTATAAAGGGAAAACGTGTTAACTTTGTCCTGAGCCAAAAAAGGAAATATGAAAATCTAATCATTGGTTTTCCGGTACCTAGTAAAACATACAATTTATTAGATATTGTGTATAGTGTACGTGAGTAGTACACGTTTAACCGTTTAAAACGCGATATATATTATTCAAACTTATTTGTTTCCCCCCCGGGCCCGGGACAATTTCAAATTAGTATATAACTAATCTTACCTATACTTTTAATTTGAAATACTACTAGTATTTATACCGGATATCTTTTTAAATAATAATTTGTGTTCTATTTTCTTATATATCTTTCGACCGCAAAGTCTAATCCTAAAAGAAATATTTATACTATTTTGTACATTAAATTTCTGTTTAGATCTTCCGCCATCTATCGGCCTGACAAAATGAAAAGAGGAGCAAACTTCCCGTGCTTGTTTAAATTGGGTCAGAGTTGAATAGAGTAATACAGTCAGTAAGTAGATCAACTATAAAGTACAATACAAGTACCTTCAAAACATACATTATATAATTATTCACATAGAGAGTTGACATAACCTATGGTATGCATGTTGGATTTACTTTTAATTTTATATTCTTTAGAGAACTTGTAAAATAAAAATATTCTATTTTACTTTCTAACTAACATTTTATTTACGGACGAATCGCCTAATGAAAACTCATATATTTTTGGTTGGGACTGATTTCATTAAAGGTAAAAAATGGCGGATCCCTCCGCATCTAGATAGTATTTATAATATACAAACTTTGTGAGTCTGTAAGTTTACTTTGTCTTTTTAAGTTTCGTTTGAAATGAAAAGATATTATATTATTGCAGCTAAGAGATAAGTTAACAATGTATAGAGAGAAGGCTATAAACATAGCAATGAGTTTAATTATTATTTAATTTACTTATTCTGTCCATTAGAAAAGAAATGACTTTTCTAATTGGATCAGAAAATGCAGAACAAGTAAAACCTTTTACGTCTTTCGCACTGAGGAAATGTAATTTTTAGTTTTTATTTCTCTAGAATGGAATATTAGTAGAATATTTAAAGCAAAGGGTATAATATGTTTAATTAAAAATCCTATTAAAATGATAAAGTTTTCTAGCTTTATAAGTTGTTAGTTAAAATAAATTCCATAAGAATTTGCGTTTTTTTATAATTTTTAGTCGCCAAATTGTCCTCGTAGACAATAGCTTTTGTTGTATTATGTGGACTTTTTAAAAAATAATCTGGAGCGTTTTAAGTAGGAAATCAGGAATAACACATGTAAGGCTTATTGTGCTTTCAAATTGTCTTACTAAAAATAAAAGCTTCTTTAGGTACCATGTTATTAAAAACTTTTTTATTCTATTTAAATTCATATAAATATATATTAAGCAATCAGGGGGAAAAAGAAAATCACTGACCATAATCCTTGTCATGTCTTTAAATAAAAACTGAAATGGTAAGACGAATACAATAATCCTTCTGTTCCACATATTTATAATATTTTTGTAACCTTCACATGTTGCCAACCCTTTTCGACTATTCCACCGCCAAGGCACCTATAGATGTCTCAAATCATAAACACTGTTCTGCAATATCTGACATAACCTTTGTTTACAGGTCATGGAAACGAAGAACATGATCTACATTGTCTCAGAATACGCGAGCAAGGGAGAAATTTTCGGTGAGTCAGACAAACATTACATTACTACGAATACATTGTAATCAAACATTTCATTCAAATCTAATTTCGTAACAATTGAAGTTAAAAGGTATTTGCTGGAAATGAACTCTTGTATGTTTTTAACATTGCAGGAATTATAATAGTATGTTGACAAACTTGTTAATTTTTTTTGCTCATATCGTCAATTGCTACTTAGTAATAGTAAATATATATTTCTTGTTATAGTATTTCCCAATTTTAATTTACATAGTTTATTGTATGGCCCTTTATGTTTTAGTTAATACCGCTATAAGTTAGTTTAAAACTGACGGATCGACAAAGAGTACATCTGTTTATTTGTGTATTTCACCTGTAACTCCGAGTAGCTTTGCAAAATGGCCGCGAAATTATACAATTTATTTTTGTATTTGAAATTTTGAATTTGAAATCCGTGATCTTGGTCGGTTTCGAAAAAACACTGAAATCGTTACTTTAAGTAAGTCAGTCAAGAAAGAACCTAGTATAATACAAACTAGTTTTATTTAAATTGAGTCATTATTAAATTTAAAAGCAGGGCAAAGACTTTATATTATTTCTATAGAATAGATTTTGTGACATGAATGTTTGGGCGTTCTATAAACATTTTTGTATCCATATTTCGCATAATATGTGGGTTGGGACGATATTAATTGCTTGTCCGGGACAGAGCTCCCTTCGTTATTACAGCAGTCACGATATTGGCCTGATATTTGAAAAATAGTAGCAATTTGTATGATTTATTTTCGGCTTTATATACTTCAATAAGTGGAAATCGCGTCTCTTTTGTCTAACTTATTGAAGGACATAGATCCAAGATCATTACGTATTTACGTAAAATAGGAAATAATACAGACCGACCGGTTATAGACGTATTTATGGTGAACTATTATAATTATTGTATAGGCAACGTAAAATAAAATAACTATGTATGGACTAAGGTTATATTGACAACAAATATGTTTGTATTGTCTGCCGTTTAAAATATATATATTATTTTAATGGTTTAAAACACGAAACATAATAACTTTTATGTCAATGGCCCCAGGTTTTGGATGTAGCTATAGTCGCTGGGATCATTGCATAAAATAAGAATTTCAAATGAGTGTAACAAAAAAATTTCGCAGTTTAAACCGTTGAAGTGTTTTATTAAAAAAATGGTGTTTTAATTGTTATAAGTGCTATATTTAAATATAAATAATAAACAACAGCTAAGGTTAAATTTAACATATTACATACAAACTTAAGCAGTATATAAACAATATTTTTTGACGTTTGCAATTTGTTCAGTGTGGTTTCGAATAAAAATTCCAGTATCAATCACTCGAGTTAAAAATTATAAAATGTTTTATGATTATGGAAAGTTGCGTTGGTGTATCTATAGTTATGAACAATCATTGTTTCCACCCACTATAAACCAAATAAGTTCATCTCAAATATTAATAATGACTTGACTCAACAGTATGTAGGCGATACGGCCCACAATTATTGAGTAATACTCTCATTATAGCCCAACCGATATAATAACGATTTCGTGAAGGATGCCATTATTTTTTTAACTATTTCCTATGCCCATTTCCTGCGCAATTGATCATAATTGCAAACACACTTATTCGCAATAACGTTTGACTGTCATTTAACTGACTCCTAAAGATACAGACATAACATCCAACATTGCCTGTAGTTTGCGTAAATTTTCTAAAACAGGTAGTAGTAAATAAAACAATTTTAACGGTTTAAAATGCAAAATGTATATAAATAAGGTATTTAAAATGTGGCCTGGTATTTCGGATGCTTTAAAGCAGCCATATCCGCCGGTGTCCACAGCTGCTGTAGTTAAGTAAAATATTTTACGTTTTAAACCGTTAAAAGTGTTTTTAAATACGTAACATTCAATTTCAACATATATAACACGATCTCTGTCTATAAGACTGCTTGTATTTATCGCTGAAGCGCACCTTTTATTGCGTTAAGCACGAAAGGTAGGTTCGAATCGAGTTATAAAAGGTTATAAGGTATAATATATACGAAATAAGGGAAATAAGATTTCTATTGTATTTTCGTTTACGTGAAACTACAAAATTTGACTACATTAAAACTGTTATTTAAATTGAAGGTCAGTTTTAGATACGGGCAAGACTTGAACTGGCCTCCACAGCGTTCCGTGCTATTGCTAATCTTAATTTATATAATGCCATAATGTGCAATAACTTGTGAAAAATATAATGTCACATACACGTGTAAAGTGAAATCTCTCCTAATTAATACTGATAGTTTCTTCACATAAAAAGGCAATATAGGATTTCGCATTATAAGGATGACTGCCGCGGTATTTTTATCTTAAAATATTATAAACCTATCATAAAATATTGTTACCTTTGCTTATGTCTAATGATGTAAAAGAACGAAAATTATGTTTATAAATTTTATATAAAAAATATAGCTCTCAACATAAAAGGACAAAACGGCGATCTAAAAACGCTTAGGAAAGTCGAAGGCTATTCGTAAGTACTTGGCCGCTTAGTGTATGACGTAAGCAGGCTCGTAATGACGTCATCGCTCGCGTGGCGTGGGGCAAGGGGAGAAGCAATTTCGCGCACAGCTGACGATATACCGAAATTCATCCCTGCCTTTGTGGGAAATTCGTGAAATCGGACAATAATATTGGATAGTCGACATTTTCCACTGTGGCTGTGAGATTTGTGTAATTACCTGATAGACACGGTTCGCGTTGATCGTTCGCCTGATTTGAAATTAAAATTATGCAGATAATATTTGGTGTTTGGTGTTTGCTGCTATCAATTTTATTAACTATAATTTTCCTATTTCTCGACTGTTTTCCACGTTTTTCCTGGATTTTTTACAGATATACCATATACTAATGAATATAAACATTGACGAAATTATTTGAACTGTATTATTATTATTTATTAATTATTCATGCACTACCTCCGAAAGAATTCAGAAAATGTTATATTTTTGTTTTCACAAAAGTACATAACATTACATATAGATATTAAGCGAAATGTCTAGACTTAAAATCCAAGGGAAATATTTCGGTTGTACACAAATGAAAAAGTTTTAATGATATTAAAAATTAATTTGACCCCAACACAGATAAAATAAGTTTAATGAAAACATGATTTTTGAACATTACTTTAGATTTAAAATAATTGTAATTACATAAGGACTCTGTTGTTCGTGAGTTCGAGTCCTGTTTGTGATATATTTCATTCTTATATACTCGCGCAGATAAACATAAGCTAATTTGATGTGTTTATTTTACATTTTGTATACACATTGTTTTATAATTTTCTCATCAATTGTTACATAGAATGACCTCACTCCTAAGTACTTTGGGTATGACTAAGTCATCACGTTTAAGTAGGCAGTTTCCATATATTGTTCATCTCTTGTAGGTAGCACTGACGTTACTCTGTTTGTTAAATTTATCTACATTCAGATCTACTGTAAAATTTTATTGAATTTCTCAATATAACTTATTGAATTTCTTATATCAAACAAAAATGTTTTTAAATGTTGTCTATAATAGCGGTGCACAATAGCGGTATAATAATGGACGGTTTCCAAAAAAAACGATTCTTGTTAGTTAACTTTAGGATTGGCATATACGGTCACAAACTATTTTAGATAATTCAAAGGACACACATAATACTGTTTGAGAATGTAGAATGTTTTCGCAGCTCACGCAACGGAAACTCTCAAAGACGAATATTTTTTCCTATTTTCTCCGCATTTCCCTTTGATATTTCGCTACTATTGGTCCCAGCCCGCATATTTTATAGGCTTAAGGCGATAAATGATTCAACCAACACAACACATTTTCAATTCGATAAAGTCGTTCCTGATATAAGCGCGTTAAAACAAACAAACTCTTCAGCTTTATTATATTGTTATAGTTATGCACCTATTTCACACTCAAAGTCGCGGGTATGAACTAGTCAACCTAATATAAACGAAGGCGGCTAAAAATATTCGGGAAGTGCTCCAAATATTTCCTATGATGATAAATGTAGTTATGTCAATGTTATTCAAAACAAACATCACGGAAATAGTTTTTAATGAGTCACTGACAAGAACTTGTAAATAACGAAATGGATTCCTGACCATGACCAAAACGTGGTTATAAATAATAACACTTAATTATTTCGACTCGCCTACTGTCATTTTAATATTTAGCTTGGGTTAATATTCTAATTATGCATTTTTCCTCATTCTTTAACAATAATACTTATTTAATTATCTAGTTAAACCATAATTTTTCTCTTGTCAACGAATGCCCTATAACCGTTCTCACTGCTGGGACACACCCGAGTGGCCCACCAAGTCGGCCGAGTGCGAAATAATATTAATATGTCCATAATATGTCCTTGTGACGGCTGCAAAGCTACGTCGGGCCGTAGGTAAATAGTTTTCAAATAAGTTTAACGAATATATATCGCGTTTTAAACCGTTAAAGTGTTTTATGTATATGTTTTCTACAGACTATTTGCGTACACTACAGACAGTGTTAAATATGACATAATCATCGAACTTTTAGGCTATCCTTATACCGGTTTGTCGTGATGTTTTTCTTTCCTGGATGGCAAGGAAAATAATGTATACAAATTTAAATATTTTCAGGACACGAGAAAAAACATCGCGACCTCACGAGAGTAATGTTATATTTTTAGGCCCGGCTCTCACTAATCTTTTTGTATTAAATATCTACTTTACTCGTGTAAACTACATATACAAATCTAACTTCTAAACAATTTTTAAACATCTTCATAAAGTGTGGTTAATCAGAGATATTTTGTATAAATATTACTGTTTATTTTGTGGCTCAATGAGACTGTTTGTTGTTTTACTCTAATTTGACAAGCAAAGTCATAATATACCAGTCGTGGCCACTGTTAAATAATTTTATTCGATACTTCCATGAAGATATATATATATAGCTCTTTCGACGAGTTTGAATCTTTGTCGCGACATCTAAAACGTTACAGACTTGTATAAAAATTTATTATTAACTGAATTTCAGTTATGTTGGTCAATTAACAGTCTCTTGTTTTATAATATTTTGCTTATTGTAACTATATTTATACACCTTAGCTATATACCTCCAAAATCCGATCCATCATCGAAGACTATGTAATATTGTTGTAGTCTATTTACAATTATTTTGATGACCTGTAAATATCCTTTTGAAGCTGCTTCGCATCCAGCAGGCCGCTTATGTAGATTTTGTTCTTAAAATAGACTTCCTGCGAATCCAGGTCTACATATCCATTTGAATATTTTGTATTCGTCATCACCTTTGCTCTGTTGCATTGTATTTCCATGTGTATTTTTATCCTTTCGTTTTATATACTTTAGTTCTGCTACTTTTAATAATCCAATACTATTAGCATATGAAACATGGGCAGTCTTTCATGTCTTTTTAAATTAAATTAAAATGCTTCAATAATTTACATACACGAAATTAAGGAAAAGAATTCTGTAGTAAAGAGCGAAGCGGAATACTGCCTTCCCTAAATAACACAGTCATGTAGTTTACGCAAGTAGTACGCATCTAAATGAAACACTTTAACGGTTTAAAATGTGATATATATTAGCTAAACTAAGTTGAAAACTATTTTAACTACGGCCCGACGTTTTGGATGCTTTGCAGCAGCCGTGGTCACGGCGAGACATACTGGTCTCCCCGTGACCACAGCTAAGGTATAACTAATATATATCGCGTTTTAAACCGTTAAATTTTTTATTTAAAATGATTATATTTTCAGCATTAGAACCTACAATCTTGAAAAATCAGGAAAAGTTTACAATTGAGAATCTGTGCCCCAGTTTGCTTCAATTAAAATACGAAAAAATCAATACATTTATAAAAATAAAAGTGAAATGAAAATTTCTGTTTGAATTAAAATTGCTCTTTCATTCCAGCACTCCGTACTGTGAAGTAGTTCAATTCAAACTTCCTATATCATTTTCATTTAAAATATCAAAGCGTAGAATAGTTGGTTTTGCACCTGCATTTTATGAATGAATAATAGACGTACACCTGCGCTCGCCAGCTGATTTCATTTCTGAATATTGGAGATTGTAATAAAGAATTTGTTATGAAGAGTTTTTATTCAATTATTAATTAAAGGGTGAACATCGATTAATAAATAAAAATTATAAAGCCAAACTATCAACAGAACTATTACTGTAGGTTTAATATCTCTGCCCTTTATATCTACATGTTAATAATGACTCTTGTTATGAAAATGTAACCGTGAACATTTTCGTGTGAATTAATGATTTTTACTCACACGACCAAACGAATGGACTGTTTTTAATATTTTTCTTTTATTTAAGCTGACCCTTTGCTATACGATTAGATATTATTTCTAAACCGGAAAATCTCTTGATTTAAATTTTTAGTTGCAGTTTTCCAATATATTTTACACACGCCAGGTGCAACAAGTAGAAAAGTTTAATTGGAAAGCGTCAAGCCAAGGAAATTGATGAGAAACGCACTACGCGTCCGCTTGTATTGCCTCGCTAGGGGTAGATAAAAAACAATTGTAACTGTCTTTTGTGGAATGTGTATTGGTCTTAACGGACACCTTAACGTTACCGAGTTTAGAACACTGACGCAAGCCACCTTTATTACATTTTTATAACGATTTAACGTGACGCTGCCCACTAGATAACTTCCTTATTTTGTCCGTAATGGTTCAACGCTCAATTATCGTTACAAAATTTTCTGCTTATTACAGAATTAAGGCAGGTTTAACTGCTTTGTTTACCATTTTTTGTTTACATGTCAAAACTAGTAAAATATATATAAATAGATGAAACATTTAAATTTCGAAATATTTTGTAATGATTTTAAAATTTTGATAAAACATGTTAAAATAGATGATATTTGCATACAACCTAAATTAGTTCTAGCAGTTTTGGTAGTCTTCAACACTACCCGGATGTTAACAGGTGGGTCTTAGATTTTAATCACGCCTATAATTTATGTATGTGAGAGACTCGTACGTTAAAATGACGAAGATCAGGGTTAATAAACTAAGCATTTCTTATTGTATTTATGATTTATCGTTGAAAAACAAAACACTCGCTATTTTGTTAATTACGTGAGTTTCTTAGCTAATACCAATCGTATTAGTCACCCAAACATTAATTATGAAAATCATGTTTTAATCGAACTTCAATTAATTTATCTTTAATCCATATATTTTTATTCGTTGGAGAAAGATAAATTTTGTCGGACAACTTAATGTAATACTTTTTATTACATCGCGATTAAAGACCAAAAACAGGTGTATTTTAGGATATTTATTGTATTTTTTAACCTATAAGAATTAAATACAGTTTTAACCCCGGCGGCCCCTGTTTATTTTATACAAAAGCGACAGTCGAACCCACAACATTGGGATATTTTTCAGCTTTTTAATATATATGTATAAGTATCACAAATAGTAAAACAATAAGTACTATACTGATGAATGATTTTTGAATTAAAACCAAGCAAAAACTGTTCAACTCGTTTATATTTTGGGTTTTTCACACTTGTTTCTTGAGTGGTGTTTGAGAGGCCCTTGCAAAGGGACATTGGTGTTTTGGATGACGTCAAACAAACGGATTTTACTGCTCGGACTTTAGTATTGTTTGGAGTTTCCTTGATGCTTTTGACCATATAAACACTTTGAAATCATATTTTTTATGTCAAGAAGGATTATTATTACATAAAGAAAGATAGAATCTGGAATCTAGAATCTGGTTCCGTACCAAAAGTAAATATATTAACTATCGGATAAGACGTCGTTTTACTTTTGTTTAAACATTTTTTGCCATAAAACCTAAACTTAGGAATTTATATCTACGTCTACCGCTAATTACGACAAATAATTATATATGTATATACTATAAAAATCCCATTAAATCTCAACTTAGTTTATCTTTGACTAATATTGTTTTTCTATAGATTTGACAAATTTCTTGCTATTCACAGATGGATATCGTGGCTATAAACGTTAACAAGGTTTTTGTATTTTGTTTGGTAAACTTCTCTCGTCTTTGTTATGACGTATCTATATTTTGGTAAATGTTGTGTAGATGTGTAGATTTGGCTGGGGTATTCACCTCCCATGAACTAAACCCTATGCTTGCCTGTCCTCTGTCATTAAAAAATGTATTCTGGGTGTCCGTGCATTAACATAGTGGTTTAAATATTAAAAAATGGAAGTGCGCTCAAAGTAATTCCTTTGATGGAGTGAATACAAAAGGATGTTTGATGCAGATTACATCGCGAGGTACGGCCGGATGGCGGAGCAGGCGGCGAGGCGAAAGTTCTGGCAGATATTATCCGCTGTCGAGTACTGTCACGAGAGGCGGATAGTGCACAGAGATCTCAAGGTAAAGGAAAACGCTCTTGCATAATCATAATCATTCGGAAAGTAGTATTACATTTAAACAAAACACTTTAACGGTTTAAACGCGAAATATATAAGTTAAACTTATCTTATAGTTAAAATAAGTTTAACTAATATATGTCGCGTTCTAAACCGTTAAAGTGTCTTATTTAAATGTGTACTACTCACGTAAACTACAGACAGTATTTAAGTATTATAACAGACAACAATAATACAGTGTTGTGTACTGCCCATCTCATCCATCATGTTACAACTGGAAAATCTGGATATTAAATGAGTGGAACATCCTAATTTCGTCCGAAGGCGCGAACAATTCATATAAAGAAAAGCCGTGAAGCCTGAAGCCGTTACGGTTTCAGTCAGTTCAGTGGATTGCCTAATGTCCAAAGACAAAGTAATTTGTATTTAAATTATGTTCTTACTTTTCCATTAATGTCAAGAATTTATACCGTCGTATTCAAATAAATAGCTTACTCGAAAGAATGCCCAAGCAACTGAGCGCTTAAAATAGAATTTTATTTCTTTTTATATTAGAAAGAGAACTTTATCCCCGTCATTTTCATTGCAAGTTGCACGAGGCAGCTTGTTCGCAGAACAGATATGAAATGTGTTCTGCTTCTTTTAGTTCAAACGGTGCAAACTAAATTACTTTATGAAAAAATGTATGTCACATCAAAATTTAAAAGGCTGTTTATTAATTTATGTAATTTCGCATTTATCGCAGCCAATCTATGTTGTAAGTGCTACTTTGCCGCAACACTCTCACCTCACATCACCCTTATTCTAACTCCCACTCTCACTCTCACTTCCACTCCCACTCCCACTCCTATTCCCAAAAAGCCAAATAAGAATGTTCATTGTTCTAGCTTTAAAAACCACCTTTTCACAATAATAAGTAGCCTATGTCCTTTCTCAGGGTCTGACCATCTGTTTACCATATTTTTTCAAATCCGTTCACTAGTTTTGGCGTGAAAGAGACAGACAGACAGAGTTACTTTCGCATTTATAATATTAGTAAGGATAAATTAAACTTAAAAAATGGTTTACTTTATGCCACAAGAATATAGACTATGGGGTACTTGAGGAAGAAAATACACCAGTAGTGAAAAATCTAAATAACATATGCGCTGTTGACTTTTTTAGGCTCTGGACCCATGGGATCCCAAGAGCTGAAACCGATACGCGAGGTTACATGTAAAGGTCTGGAAAGTCTGGTCTATTTTCCAGACAAACATTATCACGTTTAGAAATATGGATTTAATGGAAATTAAACTAATTTATTATCAACCATGTTCTCATCGAATCGATAATTTATATTAATAACATTATAACCTCTAAACGTGAATATTTCACCGTCAAACTATTCTAGTTATTAGAAGTGTTACAAAGTTATTTCAAAGTTCATGGAACTAATCTTAAGTTATCCCATCCAGGCGGAGAATTTGTTGTTGGACGCCAATATGAATATAAAGATCGCGGACTTCGGGTTCAGTAACTATTACGCCCAGGGAGAGCTCTTGGCGACCTGGTGTGGCTCTCCGCCCTACGCGGCGCCCGAAGTCTTCGAAGGGAAGAGATATACGGGACCTGAAATTGATATATGGGTAAGTAGTTACTCCGAAGAAATCATAAAATGCAATAGTTATACAAAATCTCGAAGTATTCTTAATAAGTTTTTGTGTACACGCAAGTGCATACACAGGTGGGATTCGAATCCACGACTAACAGCTGTCTTACGTTAATCTATGTTTATATAAGTAACAGTTAATACTGTCAAACGATCAGATGTAAAATATTTAGTTTATCGATGCTAGATAAAAGGTACTAAGTGCGTATGTATTGTGTGTGTGTGTTTGTAAGATCACCGTAGCTTTTAAAAATTTAATTGATACATAATTTCAACGGATACACATTTTAACACCATTTAACTTACAACATAGTGATAGATCTGATTATTCCTTGAATTTTCATTACATTTAAATATAAATAGGCATTAAGAAGTAAAAAATTATTGTCATATATTTTTTAATTAGCTACTAATTGTTACCTAACTACATCACTTCTTTCTTAGATGCGGAAGTTTTAAGAAAATAAATTATAATCAGCGACTATGCTTTTATAAGGAAAATCGTTTTATTTTAATTATATTTCGCTCTTGAAATTTTAATTAATGAACACTTGAATATTTATTAGATTGCATATCAACTTCGTTATTTTAAACTAACGAAGTCTTACTCGAAAAGTTCGCGTATTTCAGTAATAGTACCTATTTGGGTATCACTGGGTATGAATGACTGTGTGCGGAAAAAGACTAAAATTTTTAGAAGACTATCTATTTTTACTGGCATTCCATTTAATAAAATTAATTGATTATTTAAATGAATTAAAAAAATATACGGACGATTTCCCTTGCTTTATAATATAGATGCGATTACATTACTACTTAATTTTAGGTTTTTCTAAAACTTAATACGAACGTAGAGTGGCAATTTTCAAATAACTCTGTTTTAACTTTTAAGGACATTTATTTGAACGATGAAATATTATCTTATAGTCTGACGCTCTTATTTCCCGTTGTCTTAAACATTTTTTTTAAATAGCTTTAGCTTTTTTATTTTATCTTCAGATATTTTATTATTATCGAACTGATTGTTTTTTAATGAATATTCCATATGACTTTTAGTAGGGAAGTCTTAATTAATATCAATATATTTTTAATATTAATGGAAAAACCAACCACAGGCGCGGAAATCAAAATTACAGAGGTAATAAGGTCGCTTCTGTGCCAATTTGATAACGGTCAACCTATTTCATATACATATATTATATAATCTATAACATTTCCTTAAGCGCGAGTGACCCAGGGTGTTAAATCCCGCGGAAACAATAGATTTTTTCAGTCGGGCAAAGACCAGAAGTGTGAAAAACAAAAATATGTACTTCCCCATGACGCACGGGGAGAAACGGGCTTTCTTTTTATAAGTGCGTGCATGCATCTTAGTTTTAAAAATTCAGCTACAGATAGACGCCATGGTGGGTCAATCTGCAAAACTGCTGGACACCGCCTGTCGCAGGTTCGAGTTCTGATTTTTCATTATTATTTTCCTTTTTTTTTAGAGTCTCGGCGTGGTGCTATACGTGCTCGTGTGTGGTGCACTGCCTTTCGACGGCTCCACTTTGCAATCCCTTCGAGATAGAGTGCTGTCAGGAAGATTTAGGATACCTTATTTCATGAGTGAAGGTAAGTACAAAATGCTGTAAACGAGCGAACATTTTCCCCTGAGTGGGCCATTTTGATGTGATAAGATTTATGCGGAACTAGGTTGTGAATATAAGATTTTATATAATATTCAATGTAATAAGTGGAAACTCACATAAGTAGGCTCTTTATAAAAACGTTTTAGCTTTAGTATGACAATTATATTATTATACATTTAATCTTACCATATTATGATCTTTCGTTGATCATCAAAATATTATTTTCTCACTTGATAATGTTGAATCTACCATACTGCTCCACGCAGCTTGGTGGGCCGTAACTATTACCTTTTCTAATAATTGATGACAACAGGGACGAACGGCTGAACTTGCATTCAGAGCAACGATATTTTCTATATTTAAAAAGTCTTAGGAAGAAAACAAGATGGCTGACTTTGTATATAAACCTTTGATAAGTTACCTCTTTGGTCGCCATGTTGCGGTAAAGGAGGTCGTTCCATTTTTAAATAACACGACAAATATTACGTAGTAATTTATTTGGCCACTAAACACGATATATATGGTTTTTCATACAACAATTGCCGGCCACTGCGCCACCAGTACAGCAAGTTTGATTTATCCCGAAGAAGGTTGTCAAAATAATGCTAAAAACTCTAAGCAGATAAGAGAAAATAATGTTTACAATTCAAATGAAGCCCTAAATTTCATTTTTATATCGTAAGTTTATGCGAGCTTCGATTATTTCTTCACCAAGGTCTAAGATCTCGAAATAATATTAAAAATGTAGTCGTGCGACCCTTGTCATTGTTAGTAGAGTGTCTTTTTTTTAGCTGTAAAAAGAGATTAGCTCTCACCCTCAGCAATATAAAATCTAAGCGAGTAGCGATACTTTGGATGTTTAATAATCCACACATTGAAAACGAGATTAAACAGCACTTTTTCTTTTGTGGACGTTGGTTGGACGGACGTCCGATATTTCTACCACCCATTTAATATGCAGATTCCCAAAGTCCACTATGTTACAGACAAAACATGTTGGATTTGAACGCCCGGCCCGTTGATTATTAGCCCTACATTGTTACCGATATTGTTGGTAAAATAATACCTAAATTGATTTGAATTTACATTATAAATACAAATATTATTTAATAATTTTGTATCTAGATACTGTCTAAGTTCGCGAGTAGTACACATTTAAATAAAACACTTTAACGTTTAAAACGCGATATATTAGTTAAACTTATTTGAAAATGATTTTTAACTTCGGCCCGACGTTTCGGAAATTCCATAGGGAGGACGGCCTCAAATTATCAAACACCTGGGACCCCATTTTAAACTCTGGATCCCAATAAACAGCATACCGGCAAACGCGAAGACACCGTTAGTAAATTGCAGACCCGCCATTTCGCCAAATACCAACTTTGACGGAACAGATGGTAGGTAGCAATTTTTTACTTGAGCAGAGACATCCTCCATTTTATCTCCCCGTGACCACAGCTCTGCAAAGCATCCGAAACGTGAGCCGAAGTTAAAAATATTTCCAAATAAGTTTAACTAATATATAGCTTTTAACGTTAGTTTATTATTTTGTATCTACATAAGAATTATTTAAAATTGTATAACATGTCGAATGTTGTATGTAATACAGATTGAACAGCAGTAAGATAATTACAAACAGGAACTGTATGTGTTTGTTGTGGTCAATAGTCAACACTATAAAACATATAGCCATAAGTCAGCAAGGTCGTTGAAATTATAGTTAATAGTGTGCAATATCTATTCTTCGCGGTACATTATAGATTACACAATCGTGAGTTAACATGCACAAAAGTGGTCATGTGACGTGTTCTCTTTAGTTTATTTTACTAAGGCATAACCTAATAGCTGGGTGCGGTCTGATAAAAACGCTATAGCAAGCTTTAAACCCTGTTAGAGCTACGTTTCGTTCTTGTCAAAATAAACCTAAGCCATATGTACCTAGGCTGATGTTATACGATACTATTGTGTTTATAGGAGACATAAACCTAATGGGTAATCAGTTTGTGATGAATGTCGTATGATTAAGTAGTTCTATGCATTCTTACAAAAAAGCGGAAGTATTTCACAAACGGTGAAAGGAATGAATGAAAACTTTGGTTTAATACATTTGTCCCTAAATTGTACTTATTATGAAGGCATAATTATGTTTTTATTGTAATTTGTTGATCGCTATAGTCTTATACGTAATCAATGGCAATAAATTAGGGTCACTAGAAAATATTGGAGACTTGCAAAAAATAATGTCAGAGTTTTAAAAGTCGACTGAAAATGTTTATCCCCCATCTTATAAAGTTTTCTCAGAACGTCTCTAAAACTATCTCACATGTAATTAACACATAATGACGTTAGTATTTATATTTTAGTGTTTGAGTTCGTAATGTTACTGTAAATAAACGTGATAACGATCGAGAAACTTCGCTAGACGCAGTCTTCGTTAGACGGAGGAAAAGAAAAGATTGTGGTTAATTTCGAATAACTGCTTGTTCACATCTATGAACATGCCAAGTTGGGGTAACATTTACGAAAACTGTATCGTCATGGAAGTCGAAAACGGCAAACTGTAAATCTTTGATCTTGTGATCCTTATAAACACCGCGATTATAATACTTATTGTATAAAGGTTAAGGGATATAATGGGGCGGGGCTAAATTATAGTGAAAATCAAAATAATTAAATGAAAGAATATCGAAAGTAATGCAATGACAGCTAAAAATTATTATCTCGACATCTGTCGCTACGCTGCGCTAACATATTTTTTTATCATATTTTTTAAGGTCGACTCAACACAAATGACTGAACTAAATCTAAACTTTAATATCGCGCGAGAGGTGTGCAATGTATCAATAAGCTGAAAAAAAACGAAGATGACGTGTAGGACGCGGGAGCTCAATTATTGGTTAGAGGAACAGCACGGAACGCTGTGAATGCCGGTTCAATTCCTTCCCGAGTCGTATTTTTTTACCAATTTATCGATTTATAATTGAAGTCTGAATGTTATACATATTTAATTATGTTTTTGCAAAATTAATACACACAAGAGTAACTACAACCAAGTCAAACTACGGTTATAATAAACTGAATAATGTATGAAATCGCACTTTATTACGTTTTGGTCTACTAAGCTATATACGTAACTGTGGTAATTCTGACGAAATTTTAACTAGCGCGAGTAATTATTATTTGTTATTAATTGCTCTGTAAACGGCATATTGTGCAAGTGTGTTTCCTACATAATAAAAGGCGCGATTTCCACACAGAACTATATCAGGGTAACTTGTAAGTGATATTCAAGGACACCCATCATTATTACACGTATATGAAGCCATATTGAAATTTTGAAATCGTGAATGGAACGGCATCTCATAAATAAGAAATGGCGGAAAAATCTTATGGGTCGAGATTTATTTGCATTACGTTTTCTTTTCTCCATTATCGTAGTAACATTTATTATGAAAATATAATAATTCAAATAATATTATTTGTAAGTAGGTATATTTACGATGGGACATCCATCTAGATAAAAAGAAGAAAGAGATTACGTTGCTTTTTTCACTTTGTCTACGTTATATCTTTTATTAATAATTCAGCAGGACATTTGGGCATTACGACATAACAGCACAATTTTCTTTATTTTTTACTTACTTTACCATAATAATACTTTGCTATTAAATATATGAAATAGACCATAAAATTCTTAGATCAAAGATGTTACAATCAGATTGACGTTTTCACTAATATATGTGATTTATCAATATTACAGTCATTTACGTTTGTATGTGGTCTATAAAAATATGTTTAGCCATCAAAAAATACAGCCATTGTGTAATTAGCGCTATCTACGGGTCTTAGTTTTGACGCAAATGATTGAATATAGATAAGATAGGCGATGTTAATAAGCCTTGTGTCTTAATACTTAATAGTCTTAATAAACGCGCTATTAACTATTTTACTGTAGAGTAACGCGTTACGCCTAGTAATTTACTGTGGTTGTTATGTACATAGAAAAATAACTCCTTATTTTAAATCGAATCCTAAATAGTAGTGGACAAACAATATTTCAAAATGGAGTTGACAATTGTCAAAGTAATTACTTTCGTCAATTGTCACTTCTTATGTATTATACATAACACAGATAATAACGAATTAAATTAAACTTAATCAGAAATATAAAAACTACATATTTTCTATGTACAAGAATGCTGTTTACGTTTACAGCATTTATAGGAGACCACAGATTAGAACAGCTATTTATTTTGTGCAAGTGATAATGTGCCGTAGTTATTTGGGTCATTCAATGAAAATGGCGTTAAGAATGTGCATCTAAAGTTCTAAGTTTTTTATTCTAGTTATTTCATATTATGTATCCATGTGTGAAGTTAAGGTTGACTTAGTTTTTTTGAGCCTTTTTTCGCGTGGTTCGGGTATTAAAAGTACCATATGAGTGACATGCAACAATCACGCGCCATCTTTTAGAGTGACTTAAACTAGTTAGGAAATAAATAAGTGCTATTCTATGTAAGTCGAGTACAAAAACTTTCTAGTCTGTGGAAATGAATCGCGAATACTTTTTAGTCTGTGGATATGAATCGTGGAATGATGTCGTGAGAGTAGGCATTGTTTACTACAGGATAAAAACATGTTACGACTCTCTTGATTGAATGCAAATACTACCTAAATCTACGTCATCCGGCCTAACAATGGTTTTGTCTTCTTCCATTACGTTGATAGGTTCATTTTGATTAAAATTCACCTCCATTTGCCATCGTTTACGTTGATTACTTGTGATTTGTGTATCGTGCTTTTGTTTATGTTCCAACAGTTGAATTGCGCTGTACGAGTGGAGTTAATGAGTAAAATATCATACAACAAGGGAAATTTTAGCAACAAAAAATACATAATATTCAAAGAAGCAATAATCAATTAATGAAATGAACATTGTTTTAGCTGTATGTGTGTATCGTAGTTTAACTATATGGTAAGAAA